GAAAAAACGTAGGGTGAAAAGTGGAAAACTGAAAACACGAGGCATGGATAAATGACTTGATGTCAGGCTGTCCCTCTCCCTATGCTACAGATAGAAAAGGCGGAGCAGGTAAACAGTCACACAAAGGATAAAAGGGAAAAAAACTGAAGCCAGTCTGAGATTCAGGGTGGACTTGATGCACACATACATCAGGTGGCGCGTGCTGTTTGGACATATTTGTGGACCGCCTTGGCCGAGCGCGGTGGCTGCTGACGCCGCCTGTGGGGCAGGGGTGGTGTTGTCGGTGGTGGCGGCGGGGTAGGTAGTGGAGGCTCGGGCGACGGAGGATGAACCACGATAGCGGGAGCCGGCTTCATAAATGACACATGCCTAGAGACCCGCTGGCCTGTGACTGGATGGGTGATGACCACGGTGGAGCCCGTCATCTCGTCCACAGTCCATGGGTTTGGATCCCAGATTGAGTCGAGCTTGTTGTGCTGCCGTTCGTTCTTGCGCAGAGCTTGTTGACCCGGCTTGAGGGTGATGGTCGAAGCCGGTTGCACACTGCGATGGTGGTTTGCCGCCTCGCATTGGCGGGCGCGGAACGCATGCTCCTTGTTCGCCGTGACGGTCGCATCTGGCGCTGGGGCCGTGCACAGGCTGGGGAGAGTGTCCCGGATGCTGCGGCCGAACATGATGGTAGCTGGCGGCAGGCCTGTGGCGGGGTGGGGAGTGGTGCGGTATGCGAGTAGCCACTCGTCAAGTGCAGCACGCAAATCTCGGCCATCCAGTTGGGCAGCACGAAGGACCTTGCCGATCGTGCGGTTCATCCGCTCCACTGCACCATTGGCTTGGGGCCAGAGAGGAGGCGTGCAACGGTGAGCGATGCCCATCTGGGCCAGGAAACGGTTGAACTCCGCCGAGCGGAACTGGGGGCCGTTGTCAGAGACCACTTCTTCTGGCAGGCCGAATGATGCGAACGCACTGCGGAGCACTGCAAGTACGCCAGCTGTAGCGGGAGTGGAGTTGAACACGTGAGTGACTGGGTAGCGACTCAGTTGGTCCACCGCAACCAAGAGTGTGCTTCCGCCTGGCAAGGGGCCATACAGGTCGACAAACACCCGTTGCCATGGCGCCGTCGATGGTGGGGTCGGCGTGGATTCCGGCCTGTATGGGCCTGTTGGCGTGTTTGCCTGACAGGAGAGGCATGGGCGGCAGAGGGATTCCGCAGCGGACGTCATGCCAGGCCACCAGACTTTCGTGTACAGTCGTTGCTTGTTCCGTGTCATGCCTTGGTGGCCGGAGTGGGCCAGTTGAAGTGTCCGCTCTCGGAGAGACAGTGGAATCACCAGACGATGGTCCTTGAGCAGGATACCGTCGGCGGCGGAGAGTTCATGCCTTTGCGTGTAGAAAGGGCGGATGTTCACTGCCTTGTCGTCCCACATGCCCGTCTGCAGTGACAGCAGCACGACCTGGAGCGTTGAGTCTGCTTGAGTGGCGCCTTGGATGTCGGACAAGAGGAGGGCGTTGGGAACAGAGGACTGCGCGATGGCATTGATATAGGCGGTGTCCTCCTCTTCACCAACATTCGGCAGGGGAGGATGTGGCTGAGGGTGACGACTCAAGACGTCTGCTGGGTTGGTAGGGCCAGGTTCATACACCAGCTTGAAGTGGAGGTCTTGGACCTTGAGAGCCATCCGTTCAATGCGGGGTGGAGGTCGTGAAGACGGGTGAAGCAGCTGTAGAAGGGGCTTGTGGTCGGTGTGGACCGTGAAGCCGGGGTCGCCGCTGAGGAAATGGGAGAAGCGCAACCAGCCGTACTTCACACCGAGGGCTTCGCGTTCCGTTTGCGAATAACGCTGCTCAGTGGGGGTCAGGCTGCGGCTTGCGAATGCGACTGGTTTCAGCTCGGAGTGACCCTGGACGACTGCTTCAGGAGACTGGCAGAGGATGGCGCCAAGGCCAACGGGTGAGGCATCGACGTAAAGGTGAGTGTGTTTGGTACGGTCGAAGTAGGCGAGGGCCCGATCAGCTGCTATGTCGGCTTTGATGGCGTCGAATGCTGCCTGAGCCTCGGGTGA